CCTCTTGTGCTCGGCAATGCGGACTTTCAATGGCCTCTCAGTTTTACCGATCTAGAATTCACTACACTCACAGGGTATCCGGTGAATGCAATTCTTGGAATCACAGTCCGCGTTTGGTGGCCTGGTTTTCGTGAGGATGCTACGGATGGTGTTTCCGGATCTGAAGCAGGTTCTGATATATACTTGGAGCCAATTTTTTCTTTCTTTCGGACAATCCTCTAACGTAGAAAAGGTCAAACCCTTTTTGACGGCTTCTTTTCCTTGTGAGGCGCTTGCTGTCTTCTAGCCAAAATATGTTCCACAATCACTTTGGAGTAACCATTCCGTTAAAGATCTTTCTTGATGATGCCTAGTTCCCTCTCGAGAGCTTTCTTCGTATTACTAACCCCGAAAGCCCGATCCAGTAGAGTCTTGAAACTGAATAATTGATCTTGCTCTGTGACTTATTGCCTCAGTATTTCGAAGAAATGCTTCGAATACCTCACGAAAGATGAAGTTTTTCTTGTTGTGGTTATATAATTGCAAGTAAAGAACTGAACGAATTTTGAGAAATGGAACTTCTTATGGAGTTTGGATAGTCCACACAGATGAGGAGACTTACTGTGGTGCGGTGTTAGCGATGATCTCTCCTTTTCTGGAAAATAGACTTGATGTTTTTTCAACGTCTTGTACAACTTCCTTTCAATTGATGCAGTACGGTCCCCCACAATATTCGGGTATTGCCCCTTTTGAAGAACATTTCCGATTTTTTGTTCATAGAGATCAGTATCCATCACATCAATAGCGTTTCCCTTATTTGCAGGTAGGACCTTGATGGTGTTATCTCTTCGTAGGCCATTCACAGCTCTTCGTTCTCCATCGCTTATATCATTTGTTGGAACTGGTTCTCGATCCGTTTATTCCCTGATTTTCTATCTGAATTCTTATACCTCGTTATGACTGACCAATGGAGGACTGACCACTGCAGTAAATATTTTTAAATTGGACACAGATGTAGGCGCAAAGGATTTCTCTATGTCCGTGAGCGACGTTGGCGGATTCGTTTGTCCTGTTTAAGTTTTTCACTGGGCATTGTTTCCTCACCAACTTTCACCATTTCCCGTTGTGAGTATTATCCATGTCTTGGCGAATCTTCTGATTCATGATCCGTTTTCTGATCGTTTTCGAATCGTTCTGTGGGATCCTGCATCAAACATGCATCCTTCAGATAATTCAAATCATATTATATAATATCAGACAATGGAAAATTGAATTGAAATAATTTTTTCTTTGCATATTATAACCTGTTTGTTCTTTTTGAATCAAATATTGAAATTATCGAACAGGAATAGGAATAACTTTCATTGTAAAACAACGATAAAATTAAAAACAACAATAAAAAATAATTGGCGCTCCGGGGCAACTTCATTGATTCCAGAATAGGAATTCAATAATAGCCAATATTATTAAATTATAAGTATTACACTCAAGCCAAATCTTTCTTTTCAAGATGAGTGATAATATCAGATGGAGAAGTGTTTTTTTCATATGGTGAGTATTGCATCAGAATCCCATTCATCATCAAAATCTCTTCAATTTCTAACTGATTTGATTATAATGTCGATCTCTCCTCTAGCGGTAAAACCGCTTGTACTGATCTTGAACACGGCCCGTAATTAAAATCTTAGTCCTTTGAGACTAGCGTTTATTCATTATCATATGAAGTGGAATCCCTCGCCAGAGTATACTCGAAGTTTCAAGTTTCGTTGGCTTTTTAATTTAACACCTCATAGGTTCGTTGTGTACTTTAAAAATTGATTTTCATCAGGAATTTTATATCAACGACATCTCTCTGTCTATGTGGTTCAGATTATTTCCTTTCGTCGAGTATACAGGTGAGGGAACAATATGAGTACTATGTTGTTTCATGGGGATTTCGTAAATAATGAAACATTGAACGATAGTTAAATGTTACAGTTGACCAATCTGAAGCCCAACATGAGTAAATTAGTTCTGAGGATCAGTGTTTTGAGTTTTGAGCACAATAATGCTATCATTACTAGTGTTTTCCTATGGATCTGGATATTTGGTGGGTGCTTTAAGTGAGTCTTCTGAAAGAAGTCAACTAAATGACGCAAAAACTTAAATAACGTTTTTCAAAACAAAATAAAAAGTTTCGAATACACTGGCCTGTTATATGATGGAACTCAATAGTACTAATTTTAATAATAATCACAAATCTTCACAATATACAGTGCATTTCTTTAATGCCACCCCTTTTAGTTTTTGAACGGGTCAACTCAAAAGATTGAAATTTGGGATAATGAAATTAATGCAACTGAAGGCTATTCGTTATGTAGGTATACTACCGGTAGTTGTGAATTTGGATACAAGTTCCCTCAAATATTTTCTACAGATTGGACTATTCGGAAAACGTTCATTGAAAATCCTTTCAGTCTCGTGAAAGTTACGCGTCACACGTACTACTAGTAACACCGAAAACCAAATATTCTAACTGAACAATTATGTTCATTGTCGTACTGACATTTTTTGTCGTTTTTATAAACAAAAAATCTTAACAAACCATATCAAGATGTTGGAATCGCCATACGGCAGATGAAAAGAAATATTTCTAGAAATATCGATATAAATGTGTTTGTCTTCAGGAAATTACTAAATGTTCCGCCATTTTGTAGTAGGTGAAGATATTGACTCCATATTCTAGAGTTGTGAAGTATTCATCAGGAGCTTCAAAATGATGTGTCACAAGATCCCCCTTTCCATTAAATTTTTTTCCCAGATAGCGCTTTCCCAGTCGCGATCTTGAAAGTTTCATATCTGTCAATTTCATTTCAGAATGAAGTATTCATGCATCAAATTCATTATCCCAAATTTCAATTTTTTGAGTTGTCCCGTTCAATAAATGAAAGGGGGCGGGACATTAAAGAAATGCACTGTATATTTTCGAAACGCTAGTCCAACTGAGAAAACTACTGTTGTAGTGAAACGCGTATCGAGAATAAAATCTATATTGTGAAAATTTCTGATTATTATCATGAATGAAATACAAAGTACATAAATACAATCCTACAAAAGTAACAATGGGCTTATGGTAGCTATAATATATGTACATATACACAAAATAATCAATAAAAGATTTTAATAATAAATAACCTTTTCTCCCATTATCATACTAGCATACATAGAATTTAAGTGATAACCTAAGCTTGTCTCTAGTTGTTCGTCATTATTGAATAGTTCAACTTAGATGAGTTTAAGTTAGCACTTCTGTCGGCTGTCCCGAGACGCACACGTTTATTTTGTTCTCGCTATTTTACTGTCTTCACAATTATTTGAAAAAAAAATCAATTTCATCGTCTGTTTCTGTCGGCATCGATAGTTATGAGAAGAACTTTGACACCTGTCTAGGACGTTCAACGTTTTAGAACAAAAACAACAAAAAACAAACATTTCCTTGTATAGGACAAAACTGCAGTAACGTTAATAACAAATACAAGTGGTATAAAACAAATACAGTTTTAATTCTCATTTTTCATAATGATTTCCTCCCACTTAGTAACGGCTACATCCATCAACCTATTTAAAGATACGTATCTGTTTAATTTCTTCTGATAGGCCAATATATTACATGAGGCAAGTTACTGATAAATAAACTTATTTTGTGAAAAATACTTTGGATTTACGCAGTGACTTACCGGGGTGAACTGAAAAGTGTGCTCTTTCAGTTTATAAAAGGTGAAAATTCATTAAGCTAGGGCCAAAAAAATCGTCTTTCTTGAATTGAGATCAAACAGTACTTTGTGAATCTCTGGAGCATTCATATTTTCACAGAATCCAATTGGAAATAACTCCAGCTTCCTGAAAAAACATTCCCTGCAAGTGGCCGTCGATGGATATCTCTCGAATACTTTCACCACCAAGGCTGATGTTCCCTAGGAATCCATATTGGAAGAAACTAATAATCCACTACATTGCTTTGCCGACGACAGCACACTTTTCTCGTCATTCCATTTGGATTCCAGGACATCGGCTGCCAATATATATCTTCACCGGCAGCAGGAGGTTGAATATCTTATTAAGAATCCAGTGGTGATTTCGAATTGAAGGGAAAGTACCCAGATTCAATTCAATGTCACGAAAACCCAGACGTCGGTTTTCTCTAGAAAGATAAATGTCTCCGAACCGGATATGATGATGTCAGGACAGACCATTCCGCTTTCTGCTTCGCTAAGTTTGTTGTGGAACAAAAAAGATACCAATATGGCTTGGCACAATCATGTCGCTCAAAAGTTTGGAACACTGTTTCGAACAAAAAAAATGTACACATCTAAGCACCTTATGATGCTTCGTGCAGCTCAGATCAGACCTTGATTGGAGTTTTTGTTCCCATGTACGGAGCTCCGCCGCCCAGTATACCCTAAAGCTGCTGGATTCCATAGATTAGAGAGCTATCCGCCTGGTTGGAGACACCAACATCACTTGCATCCTTGATGGTTGAAGATTTATAGATACTTTCACGGGAAGTGTTCAAGTAACTTGGCACATTTCATCCGACCAGGAGCGGTACATATCACAAATACGTGATGGACTGTGGCTGCTCACCGTTTTGAGATTCAACTCAGTACACTTCAAACTTCACTATTTGGGAACTCTTTCTTGTGGAGAACTACAATCATGTGAAATAAACTTCCTGAGAACTTCCTTCTAAAGGAATTCATTCTCAAGCGATTCAAATCCAGGGTGAATCGCTACTTTCGCACATTCACCGTTCTTAGAGCGCCTTGAAGATTTTTCTGTAGTGCTTTTGTTTCGTCTAAAAAAAAAATGTCTACAACTTCCATACGAACATTAAATTACACAAAAAAGCCCTTTTTCCTATTCAGTTTTCATTTTGTATTGTGTGACTTGTTGATAACCTCCATACAAAACTAAAAACAAAAAATGTTCGACCCATCCTTATCAATATTCTTATCAGATGTAGAGTGAAACTAAACACTTACCACCAAGCTCCGAAAATCCAGTATCCCATCAACTCATTTGCTAATGAAAACGGCATTATAACTAATCCAAGAAAAAAGTCAGCTACGGCCAAAGACGCTATGAACCAGTTCTGAATATTTTTCAATGCTTTTTCCGTTGTTATCGCTATTATCACCAACATATTTCCGACCACCACAACAATCATGAGCAGGGTCACCACAATGGATGCCACCACGATTTGTGGAAGAGTGTAACCGCTGGGATAATGAGGTACGGCAACTGTCGTATTTGATCCGTTTCCCGTTGTATTGTCGACCAGGAAAAAGATTCCATCCATAGCAGCTAAAAACGTCGCGTTTGGTAGTGCCCTGAAAAGAAAATAACTCTCAGTAACGTTCGTTATTGAAATTTTTTATCAAGATATAGTTTGAAATGAGAAAGACAAAAAAGATGATGATTAACTTATGTTTCTTTTCACTTTTTTCTTTCATTTATTGTAATTTTTTTTACTTTTATTCTCTAGATGAAACAGAATTCACATATTTTCCCCCTCCCCTTCAACTGTTAAGTAACGGCGAGATTCGCCCTTGAAATGTTTTTATTCCCAAGTGGAATTTGAAACATATTATCGGGCGAATAATCGGAAGTATCAAATTTTGATAGGTTCTTTTTAATGAGTTCTGAATAGACGTCTTCACACGTTATTTCGTAGATGAAGCTATCTGTATACAATAACTTGCAATTTTCTATATCTAGAGTGGGCACCATGAAATCGTAATGGAAATCAAACATGCATGTTTTTGAAATATCTAAAATTGCCATTCCAATGAACAGAGGTTTATTGAAAATAAGTTCAGTATTTTTCAATTCAATAGCCACCAAGTCTGTATCGAAAACGATTCGACTCTGAAATCGGGGGCTCGCAATCAAATTTTTGGCGCCATAACGACCGTTCCAGGAATTCACAAGCTTGACCACCCTGTTTAACTGAATATTCTCCATCGTTTTCCCAAGAATAGCATTTACCATTAATTTATATAGATTTTTGCCAAAAGAACTGGTGGCTGCAGCCCTTAGACGAGTATTCAACTCGATGTAGGAACGCAGCCGTGCAGATTGTTCGAATTTTATAACCCGATGAATTTTGGTTAGAATCAAACCGTTTTTCAATGCTTGTTTCAAGTTGCGATGATGCAAAATATATTTGTCTTTATTATACAGGGTACCCATTAATTTTTTTTTGTTTGGAATTTGGTGGTGTTTGATGCTCTGGTCAAAACGGAAAATCTTTATGTGAATCATGTAATCTCTCAGGGTATTCCAAATCAATTTCCAATATGTAGCCTTCTGAAGCATTGTCAGGAATTTCAGTAACATCTTTATCAAAATTTTCCACCCACTGAAAATCGTCGTAAGGTAAAAATTCTGACATTGCCCACCCAAATAAATTATTAACGTCTTAATATAAAAGAAATTTTAAAGGTTTTTCGGGATTGTATGCTTCCATATATTTGTTATTTGCTTCAGGATATCTATTCGAACAAACCGATATTCCGCCCCTTATCCCCTTTTCTACACACATAATCATCTCAATGTCTTAAAATTTGTAATTCACACTTCGTATACTTCAACATGGCATCCCACGTGTACCCAGGCATAGTATAATACCATGCGGGGTCCAACCCATAAGTTGCCATGCTTTTTTGACGAAAATTTTCAAAAACGTCTGCCAGTAATAAAATATCTGTTTTCAAATATAGGTCCGCATACGATCCCAAATTTGTAATTTCGAATGATTCCCAAACATTTTGTGCGTGAACATATTTCTCTTCTNCACTCGATTGATTTCCGACCTGCAAATAGCTTGACTCACATACTGGGGTTTTAATCTACTTTTCTCAAGCCAAACTTACATCATGAATCCGATCTACCTGTGGATATCATTAAAGTACGCACCATACACATAGATAGCAACATTACGTTTGGAGCCTTCTACAACGACACACCGACTCATACGATATACGAATTTGCTGTTGGTGTTGATCCTGGGTATGCAATTGACGAAACACCTAATCACCCCATTTACTTACCTATTGCACATAGAGACGAAATAAACAATATTACGCTGCGAGTGCTAGACCAAAATTCTAGGCTCATGGATTTCCGAAACGAAGCAATAATTATTCGTTTGGAATTGAAGCGGAAGTATGGTGCCTACTATCTATAAAAATAATTCACCTCCGTACCCCCAAGTCAGTCTTCACCAAGACCTTCACTAGTCGACAACTATTGACAACGGAAAATAAATTGTTTCCGGAATCAAGTTTCCAATTAAGTGTTCAATATTTTCCAAAAACCGCAAATCGATGAGTCCATGCAGAAGGTAGAATGGCGGACCTACTATCTATATGTCAAATCTTTCCGCAACAACGATGTTATTGAAATCAACATCAATCAATATGATGCCTACGATGCTTTGTACGATAGTCTGCTGTTCATTAGTGCAAAAGTTGAGACGACCAAAGGGGACGGTAAGGTGTCATTTGTAAACAATTCTGGCGCTTTCATGTTTCAATCTGCTAGTTATGAGCAGAGTGGTAAGGAATTGGAAGCAGTTCGTGAACTTGGAATTGTAAGTACTGTTAGAAGCTTTCTCATCTACACCGACGAAGATATCAAACACTTGGCCACCTCCGGTTGGACTTTTCCCAACAATACAGGCGTCATCAACACAACTCATCTAACATTCAACATGCTCATACCCATCAAGCATTTTTTGAATATCTTCAACGATTATCAGTGTGTTTCCTACGGTAAACATACCATTCGATTAGTACGAGCTGGAGATGATAGCAACGGTTTCAAAAAATAGAAGAGACTCCTACTGCACTAACGCCGAAAACGGAAGTTAAATTGAAAATTGAAAATATCGAACTGAAAGTTAAACGAATCTTTCCGCATGATCAAATTGAATTGCAACTTTTGAAAGCTAACCAAGCAGACACTCCTATTCTCATACCGTTCAGAAAATGGGAACTTCATATGCTGCCTGCTCTCACACAAGGTGCAAAAAATGATTGTATGTTTCCAAAAAAATCGTGACCACACTAAAGTCAAAAATGATCCAACAATATTCAATCATTTGAATATCACCAATATAACGCTCACTCTGAACGGTGAGAATTACCCCGAGAAAAATATGCATTTGAATTTTGCAAAGGGTAATTTTTCGCAAGCTTATTTCAACTACTCACAATTTGGTCTCAGCTACAAAATGACTAATCAACATAATACTCTTCTCACTTCCACCGTCTTTACGGACAAAGCTTTCTTTGTCATCGATTGTTCCAGAAGGGAAAAGAGCATCAAAAGTTCCAGTGTTGATGTAAAACTTGAAATCGAAGCATCCGAGGGATTTCCTCAAAATACAAGAACCTATTGCATAATTGTGCACGACACTGTCATAGAACACCTCCCACTCAGCGAAATTATTAAAAATTGAACTGAACATATAATTTTGCTTCAGTATCAATTGAAGAGTCAACATGAGAATAGCTGTTGTAGATATTCAAGGCTTCACCGTCGAGCAAAAATTCCATCCTAAAGAAATAGCCATTAGGATTGGAATTCAGTGAAGTAACTTTTTACTGCTGCCAAATACACCATTTTCCTGTTTGAATACCGGATTGAGGTATTCCTCTGGCATTGTGGAATATAATCAATTGGATGCCATCCTCACGGAAAATCTACAAGATGTCCATGTCATTTATGTGCGAGGACATCAAAAACATGACTTTCAAATTGAAAAATTTCACGAGTTGAATATACCTACACGCGTTGTGAATTTGGAGGGCACTCCCACTCAGCGAAATTATTAAAAAATGGAACTGAACATGTGATTTTGCTTCAGTATCAATCGAAGAGTCAACATAAGAATAGCTGTTGTAGATATTCAAGGCTTCACCGTCGAGCAAAAATTCCATCCTAAAGAAATAGCCATTAGGATTGGAATTCAGTGTAGTAACTTTTTACTGCTGCCAAACACACCATTTTCCTATTTGAATACCGTATTGAGGTATTCCTCTGGCTTTGTGGAATATAATTAATTGGATGCCATCCTCACGGAAAATCTACAAGATGTCGATGTCATTTATGTGCGAGGACATCAAAAACATGACTTTCAAATTGAAAAATTTCACGAGTTGAATATACCTACACGCGTTGTGAATTTGGAGGGCTATGACAATACAACATGGATGGTTTCCACATCAGACAAGAACGAAGGTGTCTTACACTGTATGCATCACATTCGCAAGCGAACCAACTACAATTGCAGTCTCCGAAACGTAGATATTTTATACAAATGGCTTTGTGATATATTACCAAAATAAAAATGTATAATAAATTTCTATTCGAAATCATTTCTCATTTTTATATCTAAACTCACCGCCTTATGATACCCTAAACAAAAATATAAAACGTATGCAAAACGGTCGAAAACGCACGAAAAACGATCGAAAGCGCACGTAAAACGCACGAAAACGCACGAAAAACTCACGAAAACGCACGAAAAACGATCGAAAACGCACGGAAAATGGTCGAAAACGCACGCAAAATGGGCGCACGAAAAACGGTCGTAAACGCACAAAAAGCGGTCGAAAACGCACAAAAAACGATCGAAAACGCACGCAAAATGGGCGCACAAAAAACGGTCGTAAACGCACAAAAAGCGGTCGAAAACGCACGAAAAACGATCTAAAACGCATGAAAAACGATCGAAAACGCACGGAAAACCACGTATTTTGAAATGTCATTGTTGAATACTTCGCCCCCCCATAGCACGCACGTTGAGTTCACAACGCGTAACCCCTTGACACTCTTGGGTATCCTCTTCCTCCCGATGCTGTTAACTTGGTTAACAAAGATACGAGAATTAGTGCCCTTTTGGCATGTTGGAATGCTAGACTTCTGTTGAACCGACATGTTTTTTTCTTAAATGGTATATTTTGACGCACCCTGTACACTTCGACGCAATGGCATTTTTCTTCAAATGATGTATTTTGAGACATCCCGTACACAGTCGTATTCCTAACCCTTCATTTTCAAACCGGCAACGCTACATTACTCCATAAACAATGATTTGTTGTACAACTGGCAACACCTGCTTGCGCTAGCAACCGGTAGAACCTCGATACCATCTCCATCTCTCTTTGCCTCGATTACGTCACACGCGTCTCTCGCTCTTACACACACATACACATCTTTACATGGAATATTAATTATCTCCCAAATCTAAGTATATTTTCCTATCTTCAACATGATAATGACGATTATAACTTCCCTTACATTCTACGGAAATCAAAA